TGTCTGTCCGCTTTGATGGCTTAGAGCGGCCCTGGCACCTGACTAACCTACACCAGCAGGGCCAAACGGCCGCCGTCTGTCTAACCCGACTGTTGGCATCCTCCCCCTGTTCTTCTCCCACAGAGCCGGACTGCGTGGCATGGCTCCAGAGCTTCCTGTGTGACAGAGCCAGTTGGGGGTGGAGGCGGTACGGTAAGGCTGCACTCTCGCCGCACAGTCCTGCCCGCCATCGGGCCTGATCCTGTGCCGAGCCTTTCCTTCTGCCTTCAAGGGAGATGTAATACCCTAACCCAGTAATACTGCATACGTTTATTAAAGACTTCTGTGGGAGCATAACTGTAACTAGGGGTGTAAATCACAGCTTTCTTAGCGATACGATATAGTATCGATTCCTTAAGCCAACGGTTCGATTTTTTTTTTGATACCTCAGAAATTCCCACGATACGATGCCATACGATACGATTCGATTCAGTTCGATACTGGGGATAGTAGTCGAAATTTCACACAATCCTTTACATTTCAATGGATTAAAAAAGGCAAATATAATTAGCATTTTATCATATTTTATTGGGAACTGTAAACAAAATCTAGTGCAGTCAAGTATGTCCCATAAATGAAGCAAAATAAAGTGCAATAAGGTAAAAATAAAAACTTTGGATGGATGTAGATTAACATGGTGAATAATTAATTTTGAATCGTCTTCTCCAGACAAATACTTTTTGTTACACTTTTATATGTCCATAGCTGTCATGACCTGCTCGTATGACCCTCTCGTGTGCTAGAGGCTTCTTACTTGGTCCAGCTCCCCCATTCATTTTTATACCCTTTCTTAAGTTTAGTAGAAATAAATTGGAGGCTAACTAGGCGACTCGGTAGCTTGCAGCCGCTGGCGCGGTTGAACGTGTCATCCATCCTCTATTTTTTATGCCATACGATCTATCCACACTACCTTTGTGATCGACGTATTGGGTACCCCTGGTGTGGACCATGTACTGTATACGTCGGAGTGGATCATGAAAACAATACTGGAACAGGCCAGAAAATAAAATTCATGTATCAATATTTATGCGGTCACATCGATGCATCGGATCGTTTGCCGTTGAATCGATATATCGATACAAATCGATGTATTATTACAACCCTAATTGTAACACTTTGACACATTATTATTTATGCATTAATTAACCACAAAGTGTTGGTTACATACTGATCTCATGCTAATTCATCATTAATGAATCATGATGCATGTTTATCTCAAGCAGTTACTGTATTTGTTACTATATCTGTTAATTCTATAAACCTTTCTAAACTACTGCTATTGAACTATTGAAGGAACAAGTCATGAATAACACAAGTTAAATACTGATCTCATATTTGTTGATCATTAATGAATCATGGGATCACTGGATGCCAGGGCATCTCATGAAGGTGGGCCTCACATGTGCTGATGTGCCTGGGGTTTGGCAAGGAGGAGAATCTGAGAGCACCAGGAAATGCCTGTTCCAGCAAAGTCCGGTCAAGTAGCTCAAAAACATGATGGTACTTCTCAAAATACACATGTTCACACATTTATACACACACAGGCATACCAGTATGTTGTAGAATGGAGAGAAATTAGGCATAACTTGGGTTAATCAAGATATCACCATGTAAAGTAAATTAGCCCATTCTCATCGCAGTGCAAGATCAGCCACTACCAGGACACTTACTCCTTATATCGCATGGAAATCAGTCATGTGGGTGTGACAGTATGATTGCTGTAGCGTACATCTGTGACAGTTCTGCAATTTTTCTTGGGGAAGTTTGCCAGAACCGTGCCCTGCGTCTTCCAAGAAACGCATCAGAAGATAATTACCCTGACTAACAGGGTTTAAAGATCTGCTGCATGAGTCAGCTGTATGCTGCCTGTGATGGAGAACACAGCCTATTTTGGCTTACACTTTTATACTTGGTTTATGGCCTTGTATTTTTCTTTTTATTTGTTTTAGAAGAAATGCTTTACTCAAGGATACAACAGCTGTACCCACAAATGCTCGAGTAAAGTTCTCAAATCGCTACTGCGTCGGGGAGAGCAAACTTTGGCAATTAAAAATAGCAGACTTTTCTTAACGCGTTGAGTTACAGTTATTCTGTTTGAAACATAACCTCTGGTTGTTTGGCTTCTCTGAGTGTGAGAGAAGTTCATTAACAGACAGTTGATTGCAAATGGAAGAGCTATCAAACAAACAAGGCTGCTGGGCTGTGAGGTGTTTAAATAAGGACAGGCCCGCTGGACCTGTGGTCCTGTTATAACAGACGCAGTGAGGCGATATTTACCGTTTGTTTACATATGTTTGAATGACTTTTGTACAGAAAGTACATCAGCTGACGTCGTGAGAGCAGTGGTCCGTACCGTCATCGATCTGGGGGTAAGTAATAGAGGGTCTGTTTATATTAGAAGCAGCTTCAGATTAGACATACAGACACAGTAAATGCAAGAATATATTCCAGTGGCCATAAAGGATAAATTTTGCTGTGCAAATGACACCCTCAGAGTAATTACGAAAGAAATCCACAGTATTGTTATTAACCAGTAAAAAATAATTTACCTGCAGGCATTATGGTAAAATAAGGGATGGTGAAAGTGAAACTGAGAGGTGTGTTTCTGAGAAGTAAGGGTGCAGGGAGGGAAGGGGGGGGGGGGAAGATGGCCTCTCGCTGGGAGCAAACGCAAGCGCATGTGTGTTTGGCAGGTGCTGGAGAGGCTGGAGGAGCAGGGCAGAGCAAGAGCGGCTCTGGGGCTCAGTCCTCTCTTCCAGCAGCCTGAGAACAGAAGGAAGCTTCACCGCTTCATCGAGCAGTTTGTTTACAAATAGCCATCTGTCGACAAACACTGTCCACCCCCCGCTGGCGGCCTGGCATCTCAAGAGCTTACATGAACACAACCTACCCACTTAGCTGTGTTCTCGCAGCCTCGCTGGGTGAGACCTGGGTGGCGGCCAGATCCATTCCAGTGCAGAAGAGGGGGCAATGAGTTTGCTGTCCACACCGGGCACACCTACTTTGTCTGTGGTGGAACAATCTCTCTGCCCGATTCACTGGAGCTTAACCCAGTTTTCAGGTTTAGTATTTAACCACAGAGTGACCATCACATTGCAGGTGTCTCTCCCCGGCATCTTTGTGCACCTCGGAGCTTTTCCATCTTCCAGCTTTGTTCTTGCTTTGTTCACAGACCTCAGAGTCACACTTTTTATGTTTATAGAACATGATGTTTTGCCAATAAAGTGATCATTTTGAAGGTCACTTTTCACAATCATAAACTTGTTTGCTGTCATGTGACATGGAGTCACAAGATTTATCATTTTTTAGAGGTGCTTTGACTTTTCCTCCTGTTGGTCTGAAGTTTGATTATTTAATTTAATTACAGTATTAACAGCTGTGCTGAAATCTGAGTTTGTGTTCCTCAGTATTTAAATGTGATCTGTTATTCACAAATACTAATCAGAATTGTGTTGCATGTTGTTTACATGTTTGGCTTAATTGTTTCAGAACATTAAAGAAGAACTTTTGTTCAACTGATTTGACACTACTAGCCTGCAGTGATTTTTCTCAGACTGACAGTTCACTGCTTTGTTGCTTAATCTTAACTTTTATCAAGGAGACTGAGGTTTTTGAGAGCTAAATATATCATAGAAGAAATCTATAACAATTTCCTTGAAGATCCAACAGCTAAATTTCCATGACTTAAACCAGAAACCTTCAGGTTGCACAGTGGGTGTGTGATTTGTACCCATGTCTGGAAGGTTGTGGGTTTGAATCCCGTGGCTGGCAGATTAATTGTATCCCTGTTGGCTCCCTGATGTGATGATTTCCACAGAGACTTCAAGGCAGTGCTCCCTTTACTCCACCTCTGCAGAATTCCAGAGTTCTGCACCGACCCAGAAATCCCCGGGTCACGGACATTTCAGGAGTGGGGAGCAGCCAGGCCACCTTTATACAGCCACATACTGAAGACCAGTTTGGTCACTGGTTCACCTCAGTGTTCAGAGAACCTGAGGTAAAGCCCAGATGGACACAAAGAGAAAGTGTATCCACCATGATATCTGCAGGGGAACATGTGGATAGGATCAGAGTGAAAGAAGCAGTGAGATTAAGTGAAACTTTAAGTTTAAAATTATAGTACAAAACTTTGGCAGGAGTAGAAGGTTCAGTCAAGGGTTCAGTCTGTGTGAGCTCAAATAACTGCTTTGTTTTTGGGGTGCCAAACAAGAGGGGGCCATTAATCCTAAATGGCTTGTTGGAATGTGATCCTAGGATTTCTAATATGTAGTGGCAACCTTAATATATGTAAAGATAACCTTCACTGATACTACAAAGTTTATTCCAACTTATGATCACAGTTTGTGTAAAGAATATTGAGAGCCTGAACTTTTTATATTTCTGACCTTGCAGTTTCCACGGTGTTGAAACATTGGTCAGTAGCACGTGTGGCCTTCACAATGTTGTATGTGTTCACTGTGCGCCCCCTTCAGTCAGCTTTGGTAATGGCACTGGATTAAAGAGAACTTGTGCTGTTACCATTTCTACGGCAGGAATCATTGCAGTATTTGTAAAACACTCTCTAACGCTGCAGTATCTTTCTGATGGGGATCTTTTCTATACATTATATATTGTCTTATTTTGGCAAAAGCCATTTTTCAAGATTTGCCATCCAACATGTGGTTCCTGTGTTGCTCATTCTTACATCCTGAGTGATTCTGCTGTTTACAGCATGTTTGCCAGTTCTGCCCACTATGTAATCCTCAGCCTTTCTTCATTTAGGAGGAATGCTGCCATCTAGTAGCAAAATGTAGCTGCGTGCAACTTTGAGATGTTTCGCAAGCGTAATCCTCTGGTGTGCCTTGGCGTACGAGATATCAGGTGACTATAAAGTAATAGTATTGTGTTAACCAGGTAGCAGTAATCCTCCTTTACCACTGAATATAATTCAAATTCCATAGCTTCCAGGAATATGTTCGGTATTGAAATTAACTCATCCTTTATTAAAAATAGACTGCTGGGCCAATTAAAGTAACCTGCTGTGATACCAGAAAAAAAGAATTTTAAGATTTTCCTCATACATTTTGCATGCCTGGTGGATGTCACAAAAAGACACTGACAAAAACAACTGATGCTGCTGAAAATGCACACAAGGCATATAAAGTGGCTGCATGAAATACACAGAACTTCAAGAAATGTTGAAGCACCTCGGAATACCAGAATATGCCCACCTATGTTTTAAAACAAGCTGATTAATACCCTGACCTTTCTAGGGTTGTGCTGGTTGGCAGACATTTACTTGCGTTGTATAACTGCTCTGGGTTATTTAAACTGCGTAAATGTCCCATTCAAAGGCTACAGCTATTCTGCATGGCCCACTTGGTTCGGCAGAGTGATGCCTTTTATGGCTGGTGAGTAATAGTTTGGCAGTGTTGCCCCATTTAAAGTATCTAGACTGCGCACTGGGATATACACACATGCCCAGTCTGAGTCGTTAACCTGTCTGCTGTGTGCCCACAGTAGGGGATCTACAGCTCTGAGCCCTTTCTACAGCTGATCAGATTTAGCAGAGTCATGTTAATATCGTCAGCACTTGAAGCCCTGAAGTACATCAAGCATTGTGCTTCTGATTATGAAGCTGTCTCTGAGTGCAGTTGATTATTGAATAAATTCACTGGTTTCTTATAGCGGTAGGCTTCACTGGTTTATAATGAGTTATAAAATCTTGGATGGCCATGGCCCTTAACCCTTTCAATACAGATGAAAGGCTTTGCATTGGGAAACGGTCGACAAAATCTGCTGTTCGAGCAGAACTTTTCCATTTAATCAACTCTGAACATGGAACACAATTTCAGTTCAGAATCGCTCATCACTGTTTATGTGCTATTCAACCCACTAGGGCAGTACTTAGACAGTGGAAAAATCCCCATCTAGTTCTTAAGGATTTTTTTTTATAAGAAAAATAGATGAGTTAATAAGCCTGTAGGAAACCAGATAAAAGTTCTAATATCAGCACGATCCTCCCTTCATGACCATGCCAGACACCTTACTGGAAATGCCTCAGGCTTTAGTGAAATTACAGTATGTGTGCATTTAATTCTTTATGGATTACAGATTAAGCCTTTGTTGTTCTTTCCATGGTTGGAAAATTGCCTGAGGTGGAATTATGGTTTTGCATTACAAATTTAAATTTCAATGTCAAACATTTTGTATGGGTTCCAGTTCAGATGACTGTGTTGCGAATGACTCCAATGTCGTCGATCTCACATTCCACCACATCACCTTTCTGAGGGGGAAAAAAAACAGCTTGTGGATTGAAATGTGTATTTAACATGAGGTCTAATTGAAGCATGTTTGTCAAGTATAAAAGTGTAAGCTGTTTGTATCTGCAGTCATTTAACTTGTTTAGCAGTTTGTGTTTTTCCCTCTTACCTTGAGGAAGATGGGGGGGTTCTTGAAAACCCCTACTCCAGGGGGGGTCCCAGTCAGAAACACATCCCCAGGACACAGTGTCGCAAACCTAAAGGAAAATAAAGAAATACTTAAAACTTCCATGAAGCATTTTTCATAACGAATTACCAGGTAACCCTGGTGACACTGTGAACGGTGAAGGTTATGCTACTTTTCTGTAAATTGCTCAGCCTGGGCAGTTAATTTCTCAGGGCAAGGAGCCTAGAAGACAACCAGCTCGACGGAATGACTCACTGTGAGACCCAGGCCACAAGCTTCTCTGTCCTGAAGATCATCTGATTGGTGTTGCTCTCCTGGACAACATTCCCATTGACACGGCAGCGGATTCCCAGGTTATGGGGGTCTGGTGACCAAAAAAAAGTGTTCAGCTGTTCACATTCTCCACTGCTACCCCTTAACCGGCATCTTCCGTGGAGCCTGTTTCATGTCAAACCTTTCAGTGCTGTTGTGGTGACCAGGGCAGGACCCAGCGGACAGAAGCTGTCGAAAGTCTTTCCCAGCAGCCACTGTTTCCCATTGCGGTGCATCTGCCAATCACGTGCACTAACGTCATTGGCCACTGTGAAGCCAGCGACGTAAGAGAGAGCTTCCTCTTCCTGTGAAAGGGGAAGAGTGTCTCACATGTCACATCCATCTGGGGTTCAATGTTCATCCCAGCTTCTGCTCCAGCCGTCTTTCACACTGAAATCGGCAACCTGTCAAATACTTAGTCAAGGAAACGCTCAGTCGTTTAGATCAGCGAGGATAATGACGAGGCCTGAGGCTAATTGGTGTCGTAATAGTGTGGCCGGCACTCACCTTGATGTGCTTGCCTCTCCGGCCTATTACAAAGGCCAGCTCTACCTCCCAGTCCACCTCCTTCAATCAAAGACAGTGATTAATTGCTCCCATCTTTCAGTGCACCCTGACACAGCTGTCAGTTAAGATGAGAATGTGAATACATATTGTGGGGGAAGAAAAATAGAATCACTGATCAACTACCATAATGGCCATTACACAGACACACTGCACTGCATATTTAATAAGTCCAAAGTTAATGACCACTGGGTGTAAATGCAATATGAGACAGTCGACAGTCCTTTAATGTATTCATGCAGGTGAGCACACAATGGCACCTGCTGAACTCGCCTTGCTCTCATCAGGCAGCAAGATGTCGTCGAATGGGCCGGTGATGGCACTGGGGAACTTGCTGAAGATGATGGGTTCCTTGGGAATGGGGGCGTTCTGCTCCAGGCAGTGGTCCCGGTAGTTCATGCCCACGCATACGACCTTCTCTGGACCCGTGACTGGGGAAAGCAGGCCCACCTCAGATGAAGGGACCACGCAGAGGCCGCTGGAAAGCGCTCTGGAAAGAGCAGAGTTGATTGGTTTCTATACTTGGCAATTACACTGTCACAGCGACAGAGATATGTTTTGTGTGGGAATTCAGTTATGAACAGAAACCCAGCTGCTGCTGGTCAGTCAGCACCCGTCTTTCTAAAATTAGCTGCAGGTTTCATTTCAGTCGAACCTTTACGACATATTTTTAATCTATATTTATTAGTTAATCTTCCCCAAGCTACAAATACAATTCCTAAGACACACAAGGCTGACCCTCCTGAAAGGAGGGAATCCTACAATGTTGGATTATCGATCGACCTCAAAGCATCCTGTTTAGCTAAAGCGTTGGATTCTTTGATAAGTGAACCTATGAAGGACAGTAAATGAGACAATGACAGCACTGTTACTCCTGCCATGAAACTAATATCCAAGACAATAAGAAACACTGGCTCTTTTTATTGGCAAAAGCCTTTTATATTGTCAATCACAATGGCCCAATAAAGAACTCTGTTAACCCTGGCTTTTCTGACACTGTGGAAAGTTGTATTGTCAGCTATCATGTTAAGATTCAGATCATCCAGTCAGAAGGTCTTACACCAGACTTTGTCAAGGTGTCCCTCAGGGTTCTACAGTACCTTAGGCTTGCTCTTATTTACTGAACATAAATCAATTGGGATAGAATGTTCAAATTTTATATGCCTTTATGTCCCCTTATCTACAAAATGTTTTCAAAAGAGTACAAGGTCAAGGCTGTCCTAAATACAGAAAAAAACATATCTTTTCCAATCTTAAAAGATTAAAGTTGGATCAGAGTATTGTTGCTCAAGGTGACCAAATTTTAAATTGATGACTAGCTGTCCTTTAAGCCCCTATACAGAATTTAGTGTGAAAGTTCAAACTGAAGCTGAGTTTTTATTTTAGGGAACATGCTTGGTTTGGTTTTACGTTAAATGAAGTCTATTCAAAGGCAGTTTTGCTTGGTTAGTCTCAAGTTCAGATTCCTGAAGGCAATTTGGCTGCAACAATCCCAAAGTGCAAAGACATACAATACATACAAATATATGAATAAAAAATAATAAAGTACCTAATATTTGTAATCTTTAACTAGGTACATAATTGAAAAGCTTAAAGGGACAAAAGAGTTGGTCTTTAAGTGGGGCAGCCTGTGAGCGCTGAATGGAAGGGGGTGTTTGGTATTTAGGATATCGGCCCATTGTCTTTATATGCTGTCTACATCATCATGGAGCCTTAACATTCATTAGTGATTGTAGGACCTATATGCATTGTTGTGCATCATATTCCTTCGTGAGTCAGCCTTCTCTTTCAACACATTACTTACTGGTATTTTTTTAAGCTATAAGGCCATTCTAGGATGGCTTCTCTGTTATTGATTTGCTTTTATGTCTCAAAAACAGGACACTGATGGGTTAAGATCTCCGGATTTGGTGCTTATGTCTGTCCTTAAGGCTCAAACAAATGGGGAAGGGAATTTATGTCTTTTGGGTGTGATTGGTTTAACGGAGTATGCATTTTACTGAAGTTGCAATTTGGTTTTATTTTGCTCAGTTATTGCCTTAATGTTATATTTTTAACCCATGCTGTTTTTTGTAGTTTAGCTTATTAATCGATGTGTTTATGCATTCTGTTGTGCCTGAAAATACCTTATTGCTGCCTGTCTTAGCCAGGTCTCTCTTGGAAAACATTTTAAATCTTAGTGGGTGTAACCTGGTTAATCTGCGGTTAATAAATAAAAATGTAATGCTGTGTGTTTGTATCAGAAACTCCCTAAGGCCAATCATTGGATCTATACAGCTGTCACAACCATATGGGCGTATTATAAATCTCTCATATACTTTTCGCAATGTCATCTGCAGTCAGGAGTTATTTTTTTGCGATACATCTGACTGCATCTGTTACTGGAGTCCAATCTGGGGGTAATTTGTGTACCTTTGTGCACACTCCATGCCCCTGTGTCCTGTCTCCAGGAATTCTCTCATGGTGGAGGGCACGGAGGAGTCAAAGCTCTTGAGGTCCACGATACCTTGACCTTGCCCCAAATCCACGCCAACTCTCACTTCGCGCTCCTTGTTAAGCTGGCAGAACTGCACCAGTCGCATCGTGTCTCTGCTTGCCAGTCCCCGCCTTCCAGTGTTTGTTGGCTGCCTTCTAATTCTACCCCAGAGCAGCAGAGAGTGGACAAGCAGCCTCATCTGTTGAAAACACAGGGCAGTACGACTCGGTTATTCAAAAGAGCTGAAGTTGCAACAGATGATTATAATTAGTCATGCATGCGTATATTAGCCCAACATAACCTTTAATGACGTATTGCATGTAAATAAAAATTCATCATTAAGAAAATGAAAGAAAGAATTATACATTTTACAACAGAGCAGGGTACGATGACTCATTTCTTGCATGATGGCCAAAAATAATGTAATTTCTCTAAAAATAAGGCGTATAATCAAGTATAATATACAATACTGTTGCAAAAGTTGTTTAGTTCTGAATAAATTCAAAATAATGAGGAGAACATGAAAGACAAGTACGACAGGTTGGGGAGCACGCAGTGGTTGCCGCACGCGACATGCGGATAAACACCTCGGCATCTCGGTTGGCAACCCCCCACAGTGAAAGACAGTAGTCAGGATTTCCACTCCTATATGCATCCAATAACCGCGTGACTAAGTCTTAACAACAAGCCCATAATAATGCATATCAGCACAAAATCAGCAGTGTCACCAGTATTCGTGACCTACCTGCTTGAGCCGTTACTAAAAGTAAAACTGTCTAGTGAACAAGATATGGCTGACAAAATGCAATCACCTAATTTTTGCAAATACGGTGTAGATAGAAGTACCGATCTGCCCTTTAAACTATACAAATTGCTGGAGATTCAACTGGCGTAATTTCACAAACTGTCTTCATACTTTGAACTTCAGACTGCTTGGGAATATGCTGTATACGGTGTACTTCCTGTTTTGGTGTTTGTAGTTCTAATATAACCACAACTGTCGTTCTGTGATCTAACTCATATTCAATATGATGAACTGTGTAGTGTATATATTATTAATATTTTAAAATAACAGAATTATTCCGTAATCTGTACGTCCAGTTAGGTATTAATTATTTAAACAATATCGTATTTGCAAATGAACTACAATTCCCATAACATAGCATCGGTTAAAAATCTTTTTTTTTTTTTAGGCGGAACCTCGTGATACCGGTCGGCTGACTTGGTTTTTATGCTCGTAGCGGTTGATCATTCTGATATTTGAAGACGGATCGAGAGACAGGAATGATGGTGCCTGTACGGTAAGGGGGACGTTGAATACTTTATAGCTGCAAATGGGTCTTCTGAAAAGTCCATTCTGTCAGGTTATAAAGGCTCAGAAAACTTTTGTCATGATAAGATAAACTTCAGTGATGTTACTGTGCCATGCGTGATAACTCATTTCACAAAATAAAGACTTTTCTTTACATGTCCGTGTCAAATGCACCTAAATGTAGGGTGGCAGGCAATACCTCACATGGATTTAAATCCTTCCGGGGATTTCGTTCAAACCCCAGTCTCTAGTCTTTAAGCCACTCAATTTTATGTGCACTTTGTGCATTTGAGAACAGAACTGAAAGTGTCGTACTAATAACATGCATCGTATTTCTAACCCAGAATTTGTACTCGTCGTTTATGCTTTAAAAAAAAAAATCTGTTTTGAAATGTATACGAATAAAATGAAACTTGTCAGATTTAATGAAAGAAAAATATTTGATTCATTACATAACTTAACATAGCTTTCGCTTTCGGTAGACATGCGAATATGATGATACCGAGAGAAACTTGCATATTATTTGGACTGCCGCAAGACTTCCTCAAAACTTTGGGAAAAACAGACACCTTGTCTATATGCGCCTCTATCTATATACACACATTTTTATCATTTCATTGATGCGGTTTAGGTACCACCTGGGATTCAGCTTGGTGGTGTTGGGAATCCCTTCATCTGATCAGTTTTTTTTTTAACATAGTTTAAAAATAAGGCACTATGAGGACTGCAGAGAGTTTTATTGGTGTCTTGATAATAGTTGAAGCTCGGAGGGTCTGCCTGTGGGAGCACCTTTGGTCCAATGATTAGATATATAATCTGAACCGCATATGTGACCTGTGTTAATAACAGTGGCTGACCTTAATGCTGTTTCTCTCTACTCAGCGTTCAGCCCCTTGAGTACACAACTGACTGCAAAAATGCAAAGTGAGTATGGAGGAGGGTGTGACTGACACAATTTTAGTTTTCCATTTTGCTTTTCAGGTTTAGTTCAGTTTCAGTTTCTTTTAAGAATGTAAAAATAGCTTTAGTTTTATTATTTCTTTTTAAAATTTCTAGTTTTTGTTTTTATTTAGTTTCAGTATTAATTTTAGTCTTCAGTACCATGTTTTGATACCGCACTCGAAGGAACTTACTTGCTTTCACCCTGCACAAGAAACAGCTAAGGAGAAAATGTCAAGCATTTTGTTTTCTTGCCTTTGTTTTTATAGCTACGAAGGACCTGGTTTATTGACGCTCCCAGACCCTGATTACAATATGCACACACTTGATGAGATTAGGCCCTTTTGGAGACAGTGAAGTCTGTCTGGGTGCCCCCCAGTGAAACCCCCCATTGAAGTAGTGGTTAGAGAGTGAGGAATTATTCCTAGATATATTAAAGTAATCAGACAATTATTGTACAATGTGTTAAGAGAATGCTCAAACCAAATTTAATACACCAATTTCAAAAACTCAGAATACCAAGATCAATAATATTTCACTCAACCTTGATGATAACCTCGATTGAATATAACCTCGATTGACGTTAACTATGATAACCCTGGTTTAAACTTTGGCGTCTTGCATATTTACCTCTGTGATCACCTGCATCTCACAGCTTTGATGGCATAGTCCTGGTGGCCCAGAGTTATGACCAGCTGCCAGAAGGACTTGCAGACCTACGTGGGCCTCTTCAAGACTATAGCTCTGTGAGTAAAGGGGACTCTCAGCAATACCCGAGCATATCCTTTGGGTAACTTCTGTAATGGAGTCTGTTGGTCATATGTTTTTTTTGTTTTGTTTTTTTTTTCGTTCTCAGGTGGACTGCGGGTTTGCTGAGGAAGTTGTGGTTGTTAAGGTCCCAGGACTCCCTGGGAACCGGCTGATTTTTGCATCAACTGGTCCGGTGAATCGGGACTACGACGATGTGCGAAGATTCAGTGAGGCTGCTGGGAATGGCATCAAAAGGTATGTTGGTGTGCTGCTATCTTTTCATAAGAATTTAAGCAGCTGATTGTCTATTAAACTTGACCTTGACTTCTCTCTTTCCCTGAAAAAGGGCATTAAAAGCTGGCATGCAGCGCCCTCTACTGGTGTGCCCACAGCACAGCCTCTATGAAATGAGTCCCTTAGCTGCGGCCCTTGGTGCTCTGCATGTGCTGTACAGAGTAAGCAGCTTGTTTCTCGGCAGGAAATGAAACCAGTTTTTTGTGCGTCTTCTGTTACTTTTTGTCTTTAATCTCTTTTTTCAACGCTCTACCCTGTAATTTCAGCCTCTTGAGGTTTGTGAGACAGACGCGATGCCCTCCCCTCACAAGGTGGCGGTGTTGGGCTTGTGGGTAAAGGAAAATAAAGATGGTGAATCCCTTGTCAGCTTGGCCACCGCACTAGAGGCGGGCAGGTTAGTATGGTGCTCATTTACCGCTAAAGGAAAAGAGACTGAATCACTGGTAGGGGCCCCAAAAAAGCCACCCTTCATTTTTAATATCTTAATAATGTTTGAAATGCAGACTGGTGTGCCGGGACATTGGCGGGTCTGACCCTGAGCGGATGGCTGCCCCCCGCGTTGCTGAATACGTTCAGTCTGTCTTCAAGGACAGTCTTGTGGAGGTGGGAGGTCAAGTTTGGATTGTGATTTCCCTAACAGGATCACCAGGGTTTTGTGTTTTGACCTTCTGTACCTGCCTTTCTCAGGTCGCCGTGATAAGCAGTTTGTCCACCCTAGAGAAAGAGTACCCCTGCTTGGCTGCTGTCAACCGCTGTGCCAACGGTGTGTGTCTCTATGTGTGGGGGGGCAGTTTTACCCTATGCCAGACTAATTTTGGTTTGAACTCCTGTAAATAATGAAGATGTAAAATGACTCTGCCGTGGCTGTTGCCCCTCCGCAGGCGTGCCACGCCACCAAGGCAGGGTCATCAGGCTGCGATACTGTGGAGAGGGACCCATTCAGCGCACGCTGATGCTGGTGGGAAAGGTCAGAGGGGTCCCTTTAATCCACTCAGTCGCTACTGCGCATTGTGCAAATGATTTTTTTTTTCCTATAACGGTCTGCCACCTTGTGGTGCCACAGGGTATCACCTACGACACTGGTGGAGCGGATATCAAGGCTGGAGGCATCATGGCAGGGATGCACAGGGACAAGTGTGGAGCTGCAGCTGTCGCTGGCTTTTTCCAGGTCATATACATACATATAATATAACATATGAAATGTATGTATAATGTATTTATGATGTGTGTGTATATATATATAAAATTATTATTTGCATTTATATACCATTGTGCCTCGCCGTCTCAGGTTCTGGCCCAGCTCAAACCAAAGAACCTCAAGGTCATTGGTGCATTGGCGATGGTCCGAAACAGCGTAGGGTCAGGTTGGTGGTGCTCCGAAAATATCGTTCAGTTACACTAAATTTTAAACACCTCTTACCCCTTTAGTGAAGAACTTTAACATTTTATTTTTATGGAACGTTTTGATAGTCAACCTGCAACCCTGACGAAGATAAGCGGTCGAAAGGTGGATGAATCATTTTAATTAACATATAAGAATTATATATTTAAACTTTATGGGGAATTTAATGTTTAAATAATGTTTTTCTTTTTTTTTTTTTCTTTGACAGGACTGAACATTATTTTTTATTTAGTATTGAAATTGATGAAATTAATTTTGTGCTTGGAGCACAACTGACAATGCCGCGCAGTGATGTGGCGTTTTTAAATTTTTGGTTGTGGTTGGAACATTCTCATGGGTGGATTCTGGAAGAGGACTCGTCCAGTTCATGTCCGGCTTTCCGTCTTTCAGATTGCTACGTGGCTGATGAGCTGGTGGTGTCGAGGGCAGGGCGCCGCGTGCGAGTGGGCAACACCGACGCAGAGGGACGCATGGTGATGGCTGACCTGCTCTGCGAGATGAAGGAGAAGGTCAGGGTGCATCTCCCTCCTTCCCTGTCACGCTTTTGTCTGGCTGGTCGCCCTGTTACTGATTCCTCTATTTTCAGTCTCTGTGTAAACTGGAGGGGGCTGTAGAAAAGAGAATAGAGTGCTTTTCAAGTGGCGGGTGTGCGTGATGGTGTTTCAGGCGCTGAACGAGGTCAATCCAGAGCTGTTCACCATCGCCACTCTGACTGGACACGCCATCCGGGCCATGGGACCTAACTACTCCGTAAGTGACGTTAACTGCACACACAAAGGCGTGTGACACAGCCTGTCGTACATAAAGACGTATTGAGCGGGGTTGAGTATGTGTGACCTTTTTCTCTGCCTTGCCGAGTCACCCTGTTTCTTCTGCATCTTGTTTATTTGGCAGATCATTATGGACAATGGAGCCGCACGTCGATCAAACAACGCCAGGCAGTGGCAGAAGGGTGAGATGCCAAGAAGCCGACCTTTTACTCTCATGTCTAATTATTACTAAGTAATACATTTGTCATGCCTGGGGGCTTGCTTTCCTTAACCTTGCCAATAGGGGGTGACATTCAGTCAACACAAACGTTCAAGCATATGTTTCTGTGGCTGGCCTGATTCGCTGCCCCCTTTTCTCTCAGCCGGGGAAGTCCTGGGCGATATGTTTGAGATCTCCAACATTCGCCGGGAGGACTTTGAGTTTCACTGTGGTAAATCTGAGTACGAGGATGTCCTGCAGTGCAACAACCAGCCGTCCAGCGCTACTCCCCGAGGCCACCAGTCTCCCTCAGCATTTCTCATCATGGCTTCCGGTCTTGATAAGGTTGTCTTGCATTTTCATATATCCCATTGTGTACTGAATATAGCACAGTGCTGTTTGCAGACAAATGTGTGATTATGTTATGCATAAATGTTCAACGTGAATTTCTCTCTCAGCATGGTGTGGACTCTTCCACCCCCCTGCCCTACTCCCATGTCGACATCGCCGGCTCTTCCGGACCCTACCCTGGAATTCCCACGGGAGCACCAATCCTCGCCATGGCGATGCGCTACGTCCTCTGAAAGCTGTTTACACTGCATCATTAAACCGTCTCCCATGGAATAAAAGGAGAAAAACCTAATCACAGAATCTCATTACATCCATTTTATACCAAATAGCTGCATGTTATACATTTTATATCTGGGGGAACACTGAACTATACAATAAAAAATTTTGGTTGTGATTAGAACATAATAATAAAAATCTGCTTCAATCTGGGTCTGTGTATGGTTGTCATTAAATGAGCTCTAGAGGAAAAAAATAAATAAATGAATGAAATAGGTACCGTAACAACTCGGGCCCAGGCTGTGACTGATGCAGAGAATTCAGATGCAGAGATTCTGGTTATTGCTCTGGCTGACGAAGGGACACTTTATTAATATGAATGCAAATTATTCAGCCACAAGGGGTTTAAAAACAGCTGGAAGATGGGTGCAAGAGTGTCTTTTTTTGTAACCTCTCTTCATTATTTACTTTCTATTTTATACCGATGAGACAACTGACTAATTAGACTAAATAAAGGAACTGGAAAACCAAGGGGCCAGTAACTACTTCCTACAGAAATGAGCACGAGTAGTTCCAGCATGCCTGACGCGTTGACTCAGTACGCAGAACGGGAAGCTGGGAGGAGCCTCTTACCGGAAATGACGGAGATAACCCGCGGGTTCCTTAAACCAAGTCCGCGGCGCGGGAGAAGCATTTCTCTGCTTTGTCTTGAGTACGCCGGGTAGTGTACTTACTGTCACTTGCTTGGATTATTTTGATAAACACCGGGCTTTATTTATCATTTTAGCTATATATACGCACAGCTACAGCAATAATGTTTGAGGCTCGACTGGTTCAAGGTTCAATTTTGAAGAAGGTCCTTGAGGCGCTGAAAGACTTGATCACCGAGGCATGTTGGGATGTGAGCTCCTCTGGTATATCCCTCCAAAGCATGGATTCGTCTCATGTCTCTCTTGTGCAGCTCACCCTTCGCAGCGACGGCTTCGACTCCTACCGCTGTGACCGCAACCTGGCCATGGGGGTCAATTTAAGCAGGTGACAGCTTTCTAAAGGATGGCACTCTGATGCATGGTTAATGTAGATACAGAATGTAAACTTTTGTTTTACTCAGCGAGGAGTACTAATGATTGCAAGCTAATCATTTTCTTCTACACGATCAGTTTCTTGCTTCTCGCTGTTTTTCAGAATAGTGTGTGCTGCAGCGTATTTTTAGGGGCCTCAGGCAGCAGCTGTAAGAATCAAGAAAATTAGTTTTGCAGGGATTTACTCTGTTGCGAAGAACAAATTGTGCACATCTGAGCATTTTTTGTGAGCAGTTGTGAAAAGACGGAAAGGCGCCATTTAAAGGATGGCTCGTGACGTCTTCTTGGCGGCACCTTCCCTGATTGGACGTTTCTTGGCGCGAATTCTTCAGTCATTCAGAAATGGGAGCCTGTTTTCTACGAATGATACGATATGCTATAACAGCGCGCGTGTGTGTGTGTGTGTGTGTGTGTGTGTGTGTGTATATGTATATATGTATGTATATATATGTGTATATGTATATATGTATGTATATATATGTGTATATATATATATA